GCACTTTGGATTTGGTTCAAATGTAGCCACTGTTTGGTTTGGATGTGTTCCAGGTATGGCTTGGAGTTCCCTCTGATAAGGCTTCAGTTTGGTTTGGAATTTGGATGTGATTTGCTAGTTGAAGTTGGGATTAGTCTATAAGCTGTCTCAGCCTTGGCCTAAATGCAACCTTGCTTTAGATTGTATTTATAATAAAAGTTTACTTCTCCTTGTATTATGCAGGGCAAGGATGGAATGCACAAACTGTTTCGAGGAGAGCTGGACAGGTTAGGGGTGATACATACATTAGAGTCTCCAAGTTCAAATCCTAACGTTTGCTGAACAGTCACGTGCACTGGTATAATTTTGCTGGTTATTAGCTTGATGACGCCCTCTGGGACCCTACCCCAAGTGAAGAGCACTATATCAATGCAAGTTCTGGTTGTAGGGTAATTGGAACTTTATTTTAAAGGATATGGAGGTTAAACAATCTGACAGGAGATATCATATATTGGATGATCAAGGAGTTTAAGTAGCTTTAAGGAGTTCAACCAGGTGTTTAAGCAGCTAAGTAAGGTTTAAGTGGAACTGTTAGTTACAGCATGGGGGTATGCTGTCATTTCTTCAGAAAGAAAAGGGTTAAAGTTCTTATTGTGCCACTTGTGTAACCACACCAGAATTCCTGTTTACTCAGCAGGGCAGGGGTTAAAGCACAAATCGCAGCACTTTCTGCCTAACGCAGTGTGTGCAGTTCCTGTTACATCAGTTAGTTACATCAGTTGCGGTTGTGATAACCCAGTGAAGGGATTAAAAGTGAAGGGATTGTGCAAGGATTAAACGATCACTACCAAAGGTGCGGTGCAGCAGCGAGGCAGCAGTTAGATTTGTTTCACAGAAAGTGCATGAAACTCCCACTATGGTTGAGTGAGTTTATGCAGTGATTGGGTTCACCAGACAGAGCAGGAAGGCCTCAGATTCTATTCCCGATGTGTGCAGAGTTATCTGATCTCCTTCGGGGAAGCAGGCAATAGGGGGGTGATACTGTTAGCCTTGAGGCTCTGCCAACTGAGCAAGGTACCAAAGGAGAAACCAGTCCTTGTGAAACCACTCCCCCCCCCACCCCATAAAAAGGTAATAGGAGTCAAATACCTTCAGGAGGGAACAATTGTCAAGGAGCAAAACAAAAAAAAGGCACCCACATAAAATTTCAGCTTAAGGAAAATAATCGCAGATCTATATACAGTTCAACTGGAATCCAGAGAGAATGGAGACGCACACTGTTTGAAAAATATTGTTTCTTAATAGGAAGTAAGGAAACTGATCAATTAGGAAGAGTGTTTCCAGTGCCATCTGTTGTGAAAAACATTTGATTTTTCATGGCAGACGTCATCTTGGGGATCTTGTGTGCCTTATCCACATGCCCAGTGACCTCTACCCCTTCTCCTTGGCGTTGCTGAGGATTGCCGATTCATAGGTGAAGCACAGAGGTCTGTACAATTAGTGCTTGGACGACTTTGCTTCTGAACTTGACCTTTCCGTAAAAAACACATTAACTTTGTAACAAACATGAAAACTTTGATTTTAGTACTTAGGGTTTCTTAACTCAACACCTGCCAATATACTGTATCGTAGGGAATCATTCGGTAAGAAATTAGAGATCACTGTTGCTAGCAATGTCTTAAGGTCACAATTCACTCATACACAGGGTGACCAAAAAGTCGTGATGATTACCCTTAAAAAAATCACCATTTCTTTAAGACTTATTAGACATTGTAATGGTATCATGACAATGCCGACAACAACTACAATTTGCATTTATATAGCGCCCGTCACGCCAGACAGATGAACTTCCCATCTGCTGGGTAATCATACAATCATTCCCTTGCCCTCTGAAAAAAACCCTGTGTAAGATCTGCACAGTGTGCTCCTTCCATTGCACTTCCTCACGCTCGTGTTCAAATCCCTTCACTCTCTGGCAGCTCCCTACTTCTCCGACCTCTTCACTCCCCAATCTACCACCCAGCGCTGCTGCTCGACTAGCACTGGTCTCCTGCTCGTCCCTCGCAGCCCCCGCTCCGCCATTGGAGGTCACGCTTTTAGCCACTACGCCCCGAAACTCTGGTACACTCTCCTTCCATCCCTCCGCTTAGCCCCCACCTCTCCCCTTTTTCAAATCCCGCCTGAAAACCTTCCTCTTCCACCTCCCACTACCCACCGCCCCCTGGCTTGGAGTCAGGCTCCACCACTGTTAATCACTCTGAAATGCTACCCTGTGTGGAGGGTGCTGTATAAATGGAAGTTGCTGTTGTTGCACTTGCTGGGGGAGGAACAGAGTTGGATCTAACTATATCAGTGTTAAAGGGGTATTTGAGTAGTACACAAACAATCAATGCCTGTTTTAAGCGCCTGTTGCCTCACTGAACACCGTTACCTCTGAAAATAGTCAATACAAGCTTCCGAGGAGTCTTCAGCTCATCTCCAAGAAGCAAGAGTGTTCTGTCTGCCATGTTTTGCTGGCTCGCTGTGAGCGCACCCCAACAAGCAAGTCACTGGGGAAACTCAGAACAAAACAGGTGCGCAGTTCCATTCATCTTTCATTCTACCTCACAAAGCATAAACAGCAAGTTCCTTGCCTCAGTACCCCTTTGAGTACTTTGGAACCTGTTCCAGTTCTAATTGAATCGATTCTCAAAGTCTACTGCACTCTAACTCCATCATAAATCTCTGCGCACTTGACCAGAGAGTTTGTGTGGCATGTAGCGAACACTGTTGGAACCCTGACATCAGCCGCCAACGTTCCCAGGCAGAACGATGAAGGCATTAAAATGTCTGCTTAAGTGGTTCCAACTGATAAAAGTGGAATTTGTATGTCAGGTGACACAACAGTGCGCACTGGAGGTGATAATAATAATCCTTGCATTTAGTATTGGCACCTGGAATGCCAAGAATGTCTCAAAGTGCCTTTAAATACATAATAGCCCTCTCATTTGATACAGCGCCTCATCACATTGACGAGACGCCTCAAAGCGCTTCACAGGATATCCTGTAAAGGTGAGTGGCTGGGTGTGTTCTGTGGGCACTGTTTTACAGGGTTCTTGTAAGTGTACATTAGTATATGAGCTGTAACTTTAACAAGGACTCATATCTTTCAACACTGGCACTAGTGGCTGGTGGGGGAAACTTTACAGGAGAAAACTTTACAGTGCCCTCAATGAGCACAGCAGTGGATTTTCAATGTCCTCTTTCAGCAAGTGGTGTTTATTCTGTCTTTGAGCTTCTGCGCTCAAGGGAAGGACAGAGGAAATGCAGCAGGAGAACTGGTGTGTAAAGGTTTACACAACAGTACTATAAGTGACATATACGTGACACGTTCTGTAGAAAACAAATCAGTGTTATTGATATTTGATATTAGTTCCTTAGACAGTTGGAAGAGTGAAACCTTACAGAAAGAGTTGCTCAGCTTCACTGCCATATTGATTCATTTCCACCAAAGTTAAGAGCATTTGGGTGACTTTAAAGACTGATATAAGTCAGTGAGGGAAATCAGCAGAAAGCTACACCAACATATTAACAACGCCTGTGAGAATTCTGTGCTAATGTGGAAATACAAACTGTTTTATCTGTTTAACCCCTTCAGTAATTGAGGAACCTTTTCGGCTTCCAAACTCCCCACGGTTTCTCCTGGGCTGAATATTTCTAGCTTTCGCGGAGAGGGCAAAGGCTTGCTGCCATGAAGTAGAATTTGAGCAGTGTTTAAGGCCATTGCTTAATTCACAAAGACCTTAGAAAGTGGCGTGTGTTTTTTTTAAATAAAGGCACTGTCACTTCTCGTTCGGATTTCTGAGCAGAAACCTTGCAGCTGCCCTAGAAATGATGTGTCAGCTGCTTTGAAACTACTTCCTTCCAGCATCTTGTGCTTTCCTTATATAACAGAGCAGGGCTTGATTCTCGGCACAGTGATTCAGCAAGTGGCAAACCAATGAAATGAAGAAAGGCTCACAGAGAAACGAATAAAGAAAGGGCTTGGTATAAACTAGTGAGAGACCCTGTTTATTTTTGGGGGGTGGAGGGGTTTGGGGGTTAAGAGAAAGAAGAGGAGCGGTAGGAGTTGGAATGTATCACCCGGATTATAAAGCCAGATCTTAATCAATTTAAGGATCATGCTGGTAAAGGATGATTACTGGAGCTGTAGATGACTGTTGGCTTCCCCCAGTCTTGCTCTGTGTCTAAATGTGCGTGAGATTGTTGATCGACAGTGAACTGAAACTCAATTTTAAAAGGAGCAACATTTTATGTTAAAAAAAGGCTATGCCAGCGCCTTAAGCAGCGAGAGGNAAAAAAGATGATGTGTGTGTGGGGGGGAAGTGGGGGGGAGTTGGGGGAATAAAACAGGCAAATAAATCTGGTAAACAAATGCTCATTTAAGTCAGTAAAAGAGAGGATGTGTGTGTGTTTGTCTATGTCCTGACTGACAGCTCCTGCCACCCACGTTGGGTGGGGTGCCTGTGACTGAGCCCTATCATTTATCACTGGCAGAAATTCCACATGTATTGCATACAGCAGGTGAAAGTTGCTTAGATCACTGTATGTACTTCACAGTTCAGTAAAGAAGTTCAAGAGCAAGGTTGGGTAGTGAGCAGACTCTGTTGTGACTCAGTCTAGGAGCAACTATTTATTGACAGCAATTAAATCTCCACTTCCAACCTCCCTTTCTCTCCCTTGTTCTTTACTTAAGCTCCAGTCTGGGGTGGGGTTGTGGGGGGACTTAAAACCCCCCCAAAAAAACTATGAATGATCTGAGGTTTATTCATTCTACCCACTCCCTCTGACTGTGACCCTGCCTAAGAGAGAGGAGGAGACTTTTAACAGGAGGCTGTCCTTCCTTTTAAAAAAAGAAGTCATTTTTTTTCCTCTTCATAAGAAAGTTGAGCACATTTGACCAGCAGATGGGATGTTGTAGAGCTTGAAGTACAGTAACGATGTTGAAATACGTTCCTGTTCAGCACAAGTTCTCTCTCTCTCTGAGGGACAAGACCAGCTTAATTGTAAGTAGTGATTCAGAACTCTTTGTAAGAATTGCCTGTGTAGAAATCTTAATTACTGTATATTCATCCTGTACTGAGAGATGCATATGCACAATAACAGGGGACTGTGTCTAAAGGCAAAGTTGTCTGTGAATCATTCTCTTTTGAAAGTATTTCTTACTCTGGTGTCACTTTGCCCTTGACTCGTTGCAATGGTAGTGGGTTTCTGTACACATAGCACTTGTTGCTGAACTTGGCTTTAGAGCAAGTTTTGTTTCAGACCAGTAAGTTTGTACTCTTTTGAGGTTTTTTTTCTCTCCAAAAAACACACAAGCATCGGATTTTAGTGGGGAAAATAAGCCTTTCAACAATCTAGTTTTGCGCTTCGCCGAGACAGATTTTTCATAACATTTCAGCGTTTTGTTTGAGTTGAAGTCGAACAGAAACGGGTGACTAAATATGAGGAAAGAAACTACCTTTGTCTTCCTCAAACATGGCTGGGGCGAACCATGGAGCGTGGACGGGGAAAAATCTGCATGGAAAATACTTCTCATCTGAAGAAGTTTTTGTTTGTTTTTCTCTTAACCCTTTCCTCGTCGAGTCCTCGTGATACCGATGAGCTCGGAATTCCGATGAGTTCTTATTGCCTGTCTTTCACCCCCACCCCCGCTTCCTCTCCCAACTTATCTTTTGTTTATCTCCAGTAGTTATCGTTGTGTTTCACTGCCAATCATTGGTAGTTCTCGCCAACGTGTCTACCGGTTGCCTTTCTTGAGAACAATTCTCAATCTCTTGCTTGATGTTTTGACCTCATGAGATGATTATTATCATCAGAAAAATTCGCATCGAGTGCCTCACTCCATTCACCAAATGGTGGCGAAATTTGATCGTTTTAATTTTCTTCTTCTTCCAAAGAAAATGGAGCTCACAAAGAGTTGCCCACCTTTGTTGCGCTCAAAGCGTCCACCCAAACTTAAATATGCACTGGAGCCAGGGAGAGAACTAGTGCGACAGATTAGATCTGAATTCTGCTTGGAATTCATTGCACAAACCCGAGCCCTGCTTTAGTGCTTAATGTTGCTTGACCAAAATACTCATAAATCATATTTCCTTTGTAGGGCGAGCGCCATTCAGTTGTTTTCTTATTGCTATAAGACTGACTTTTAACAAAGGAGTGACTCCTTTCCTCCCGCCACTTTAGTTATATCAAATAGATTCTCATCAGCGCTCTGAATTCTGCCTGTTGATCAGCTTTGTGTTCAATTGCTTAATTTTATTGCAGGTTCTGCAAATATGAACTCAAACCTTATTATTGCGGAGATTGCAAAAAGTAGTTCCGGGAGGTGGGGTGGGTGGTGTGGGGAGAGGAAGAGATTGGTTTTAGATGTTCCACTGGCTTTGTGAAAACTTCAGCAGGACTATGTAAAAGGCGGTTAAAAGTCCGAAATTTTGCCTTGAGAACTACTCGGCTGATTTGGGATTATCTACCCTACTTACGATATGGAGACAGTGAGGTAGACAGTGTGGGAGGAAGACAGACAGAGCGAGGAATTCTGCCACAACATGACCTAAAACAATAATTTTAGACATTGAGTAAATGACTTGTAATTTAGAGAATCTGGTGGAAAATTTCATTCTATGGTGTTCCTGTCTGTCAAACCCCGATCACCAAAGCCTTCATTCCATAATTTGAAATGTCTGTGTTGTGTTGCCTTATTGCCAGGTCAGATGGCCCATTTTTGCCTGTAGTTAATGACCATAATTGGTACTTGAGGTTTTGGATATAAATAATTAGCGTCATAGACTGAGTAATCTTGAAGTCTGCCTTTTATTTCAATAACCTATTCCACATCCATGCAAAGTACTAATTTAGAACTGGATCTAGCGAAGCAGTCATATTGACTTTAATTTCGGAGCAACATTTGACAAAACATTTGGTCAGTCATAGTTTAATTTGTTTCCCAAATAAGTGAGTCCAGCCCTTGCGTGACAGCGTAATGCACACAAAAGGAAATCGCAATGTTCTTGGCGGCTTGGAATAAGGCGAGAGATTCTATACCAGTGGTATGTCAGGCAAAAATTGGTAATTGGACGAAAGAAAGAATGTACCTCTATGAGGGCGTCTCTTTTTAATGCAGACGTGGCTGTATGTGAACTTGACTCCACAGGTTTATACGAGAGAGGGTTCCGCTCAGTCAAACCTTCCCTTTTGAACGGCCTGTTACTGGGGTACTCCATTCACTTCTTCCATGCTCTCAGCAAAATGGTATCTGCCTCCCATTCCACGTGTACAGCATAATATGGCTTCAGAACTCAGTAGCGGAATTAGCTTCTCAGTACAAATCGCTAAGGATCCCGCTGGGTGGGAGCTCTGCAAATACCTAATGTTTGCGTGAAGCAGTTATTGTGTTTACTCACTGGTTTAATGAGTTTCAGAGACAATGTAATTAGTCAATTTTTCCAGTGAGTGGGGGGAGTGGGGGTTCGGGGAGAACAAGCGAGGGGACATTTTAGATTCCAAAGTTTAGATTGCTGCCATGTGGCGTAGCCTTAAATGGGACTGTGTGGAGGGGGGTGAGGGGGATGATGTTATTACGAGTGTAGATGTTCTTGTGCGGAAGATTACAAGGGAGTGTCTCGATGTTCTTCAATATCCTCTGTGACCAGAGGTTCGCTGACGTGAATCTATACATTGAAAAATTTCGCTCATTTTGAGTGCGATGTTCTGTCCCTCAAAAGCGCTTTATTTCCTTTTCAGCAAGGTTCACTGTTCCAGAAAAATAAGGTGTTTATTCCATGCCTCCTTTACAGGCACACATATATTTTAGTAAATAACATAAGATAAGGAAACTATTTTGGTGGATTTTTCTTTGAAATCATCCAAACCACGGAATAACCTGTGACTTGAATCCTCGGATTCATCAAGGGGAAAAAATAGGACAAAGTCTCTTTTTCTATACACAACTAAACTTTTTTAAAAGGCATTCCCCAGTTAGTCCCAATTATCCCCTCCCTAAAAAAAACACATTGAAATTAACCCTTTGACAACTAAAAGCTGTGAACTGAAGCCTTTCCGGGCTTCTGAAATTCCATGTCTCTATTGAAATATTATTACAAATACCGGATAATAACAATAATAATCATTTGATATAGCACCTTATCAGGTTTTCGAGACAACTCAAAGCGCTTCACAGAGTCTAGTGTGATGTGAATTGACTGTGTATTTTGTGGGTGAAACGATGTATCATAATCCACCACAAATAATGTACCAGAAATTTTTAGAGATATTTTTCCTAGCATTGAGGAAATGCACAGATAAGAGAACATTACTGATCAATATTCATTCTCTTTTCATTTTATAACATTTGTTTGACTTTAGTGCAAAAGTGTTCCTACAGCCAAGCCTTACAGTCTAATCCCAGCAAAAGGCCCATGATTAGATGGAATATTTCCCTTCCTACACCTAATGGATGCGGCATCCCTTGCTAGTGCTTTATCTCATGTTAGTCATTTTAACTGTGTATCTGTTAGACCAGTGTCTGCGGTATTTTGAAAGTTAGGAGGTGTTCTTGAAGGGTTGGGCATTGAGACACGAAATGTGGATGGCACCAAAAGAGGGGATTCTTCCGATTCTTGTCGGTAACTCCCAAATCCATCAAGGAGGGAGTAGGAGGAATTAAATAGAAAAGGAATAGGAAAATATCTCTAATTGACGCTCTCACCAATTTAGTTGTCGTTCAAGTTTTAGTACTATCAGCAGCAGCTTGAGAAAAGTAACGTCCTTTCTGCCTTCTGGGCATGATACGTGGCACAAATCAGTATGAGCGGAAGCTTAGAATACAAGCATTATTTATACGGTTTGAATTTCGGAAATATTATTATTTCCCTGTTGTTGTATTAATTCAACAATAGCTTGAACTTTATTGGGTTCGTCTGTTAGAGAATGCTCCTCTACGGTTACGGCATCGAGATTCCCTGGGTGGTGGATTCCGAGTTATTCTAATTGGCCATAGTTTAGCCAGAACATAAGAAAACTACAGTTTCAATCCCTCGACTAAAGATAGCAGACACCAATACATACACCCATTGGGCTGAAAATCCATTCTCTAACAGAGACGGGAAGATGGGCAAAGTTTCTCGGTGAGAACACCACTTAATTGGGAGTCATTTTTTTAGCCACTGAGTTTTTAACCTGAAATGAGTTTGTTTCATTTAATAATAAAACAATAATCCTTGCATTTTATATAGCGCCTTATCGTATCTTCGAGACATCTCAAAGCACTTCACAGAATATGCTGTAAAATTAATTGACTATATTTTGTGGGTGAAACGTGGCAGCTAATTGCGCACAGCAGTGTCCCACAAGTAGTCGTAGGTTGAGTGACCAAATTATTTTTAAAATGTATTTTGAAGGAATTATTATCCCCGGAAAAGCGATCCACCAATCGACCAACAACCGGGTTCCTCCTTACTGCTCGGTAAACAGAGGCGTGTTGGAGTAAGGAAATTTGCGCAATGTTTCTCCCTGCCTGGGAATCGAACCCAGGGTCCTCTCGCTTGCGAGGTGAGTGCTCTAACCACTGAGCTACAGGACCCCAATTGAATGCAGTTAAGGGAGCTCATGATCGTTAGAGAGTCTGAAGCCACTGAATGAATAAAGCAGTGATCACATAGGGAGTGGCTCGAGGTGCTAAGGAGAACTCAAGAGGTGACATTGAGAGACTACATTGTGACGCATAGTCGGGTGACATGCGGAAACCCCTCACCGTGCTTAAGAGTATCCAAATCAATCTGAGCTTTCCATGCATCCTACCTTCACATGGAAATCCCAGTGAGGTGAAAACTTGGGTAATCCCTAAATCTTTGGCAATAGGTATTGTTACACGATGTGAGCCATACTTAATGTCAACATAATCTTTCTTTAGTTCAGTAGCAGTGCCTTTAGTCACAAAATTTATATCGAAACAGCTCTTAATTAACAATAAAGTCACACCTGTAATTAAATAGTAATAATTATTCAA